ATGATTTAAGCAGAGTCTGTCGTGCCCAGCGGAAGGATGAGAATACGTGATACATACTCTATATTGCTTTATTTACAGTTCAAAGCTGGTATATTACAGAAAGACATCTTGCCTCTGCCGAAGCAGAAAAATGCATCCTCTCTCCTCGACAGCTTGGAGAGAATCACACAGTGAAAAAACAGGAAACCAGTGTACGTCACATCCAGTCTCCCTTTCCCGTGAGAAACTCCAACAGTACAGACTGTGGAATGTAAACACCTGTCTCATGACAAACAGATGCTGCACAGTGAAGGAAATAGAAACCAACATCCTCCCCCTTTCTGTGAACATCACTGGGCAGCGTGTTCGTACAGTATCAGTACAAACCCAACTTCTGCACATAGGTACAGTGTTGATTCCTTGATACAATCTTGGACAATACATCAGCAGGAATTTCATTACCTGGCATATAGGACACCGTTACGAGTCCCTTCTGAATACATTCCCTAGCATGCTGCAACTTTAATTGCAAGTGCTTTGTGCTTTGCTTACAACCTTCAGACTTCAGCAAAGCCAAACATGCTTTGTTGTCCTGGTAAACCTGGATTGGACATTTGACAGGAATTTTCATATCTTTGCACAATTGTACTAACCATTCACAATCCTTAAGTGAATAAGACAGTGCATTCAGTTCAGCTTCACAAGTACTTAAGCTAACTGTTGTTTGCTTCTTGCATGACCAATCAAACAGACTCTGATTGTACATGTAGCAAACTCCAGACGTACTTTTCCTGTCTGTAGTGTCACTTCCAAAACTTGCATCTGCAAATATCTCAAGACCACCAGACTTCTGATTGTTAAATCTCAGTCTGTAATGCATAGTGCCTTTCAAATACCGCGCTATGCGTTTCCGAGCTTTCCACTCCTTGACACTAGGATTGTTGACTTGTCTGCTTAGCAAATTACAGCTAACAGCAATGTCTGGTCTTGAACATCTGGCAATGAAGTTTAGCTTGCCTAGCACACTCCTGTACAGTGTAGTGTCAGAAAATGCTTCTTCAGTGTCATCTACCTGATAACCTGTTGTCATCGGTGTGTCTACAGGGTTAGCATCCATCAGATTTAGTTTGCTTAACACATCAGCAATTTTCCGTGACTGGTGTACTAGAATGTTACCATCTTGATCTCTCTCTATTTCCAGAGATAGGTAGTTGTTTACCTCACCAAGATCTTTCATGTCAAAGTGCTCTTTCAGTTGAGCTAGGGCGTTATTGTACATTGCAACATCTTTCCAAAAGAATAATAAATCATCAACATAAAACAAACAGTACAGTTTCTTTTGCCCCTCCTCTTTGACAAATACACATGGATCAGCTTTCCCTTGCTGAAAACCTAGAGAAAACAATACTTCAGTGAGTTTTGTGTGCCAACACCGTGCACTTTGTTTGAGACCATAAAGGGATTTCTTCAGAGCACAAACAAATCCCTGTTTTACCTGTACGCCATCAGGTGGAAGCATATAAAGTGATTCATCTAGAGATCCGTACAGAAAAGCTGTATTAATATCATGGTGACTAATGTGTAGATTTTCCTCTGCAGCTAAGCTTGAGCATAAGCCTAATGCTTTCATATCTCACTGTGGGTGAATAGGTCTCGTGATAGTCTTCACCTGGTACCTGTGCAAAACCTCTGGCTACCAATCTGGCTTTGTGTCTGACTATCTTGCCATTTTGATCTGTCTTCGCTTTGAAGACCCATTTGCTTCCAAGCAGTTTCATTCCTGGAACTACTGGAACTAGCTCCCATGTTTTGTTCCTTTCTAAGGAATCAAGCTCAGCCTTCATGGCATTTAACCATGGCTCAGCTTCCTTTGAATCCAAACCCTGGATTTCTTGGAAACTTGAAGGTTCAAATACCTTCTTGGAGCTTTTAACAGCTGTTACTGCTATCTTAGCAAACTCATCAGCAAATCTCTTTGGAGGTTTGCCTTTTGTGGCTCTCTGTGACCTACTGAATTAGCCTTAAGTCTTCAACACTCTCCTCTTCCTTCTTAGGAGAAAAACGACCTATTGTGAACAATGGTTCCTCCAATTCTTGATCAGAGCTTTCAGAGGGTCGCATAGAGGCTTTCGCACTCTTGAAATCCTCTGAATCACCCGATTCAGTTTCAGATTCAGACTCAGAACCTTCATCAGTGGGTGTGGGCTGTTGTGGTTGCTTTGACTATCCTCAGTCTCATCACCGTCATCAGGATAACATTGGAAAATTCCCACATTCTCCCCCACTTTGCATTGTACTCAACACTTCTCGTGAGCTTAATTGTCTTAGAGTCAGTCATCATTATTCTGTAAGACCCTTTCTGATAACCTAGAAAGATACCATGCAATCCACGCTTGTCTAACTTGGAGTTTTGTGGTGAGCGAACCCACATGTCAGAACCAAAAATCTTCATGTGTTTGATGTATGGCTTCTTGCCAAACATCTTCTCATAGAAGTACAACCAATCGCTGAAGATAACCTGCGATTGTAACTGTAAACAAAACACGAGAGAGATTCGGCCCAATAACTCTCTGGAAGATTGGCATCATGCAGCAAGGTTTTTAATCCTTGAAGCAATGTCTGATTTGCCCGTTCCGCAAGTCCATTCTGCCATGGCGAGCGAGGACTAGACAAATCGTGTTGAATTCCTTTCTCAGTCAGAAAAGCTTCAAACTGCTGAGAAGTGAATTCCCCCCCGCGATCACTGAAAGAGTCTTTATCTTCTTACCATGCACATTTTCCAACCAAGCACAGAATTCCTTGAACCTAGGAAAAGCCTCCGATTTCTGCTTGAGATTGTACACAAAAATATATCTAGAAAATGCATCAATGAGAACCATGAAGTATCTATTTCCACCCAAAGAGGGCGCTAGTGGTCCAACCAAATCAGCATGAACAACCTGGTATGGTTCTGTAGCTTTCCTACTAGACACCTTACCTTTCGCAGCCATTTTCACCTTGTTTGCTGCGCATGCTTTGCACTTCATGTGGTACCTGCAGGGTTTAATAGTCATACCTTCAACCAAGGCAGGCATTTTAGATACTGCCTCAAAATGCAAATGACCAAATTTTCGATGAAAATCGTGAATACATTCTGCATGCAAACTTTTGTTAGAACCTGCAATGCAACAAGTGTCATCCTGCACCACATCATCATAATACAAAACAAACAAATGATCAACATATTCTGCATGCAATACATAATCATTTTTCTTTGTGATGATGCACTTCTTGTTCTTGAAGGAAACGTCAATGTTCCGCTCATTCAGCTGTCCAACGCTGAGCAGATTATGTTTGGCGTCTGGCACGTAAAGCACATTCTGTATCGATAAGTCCAAACTGTGAAGAACAACAGTTCCGTAGCCTTTACTGGGAATAGTGTGGTCATCCGCCTGGTGAATCGCACCTTCCTGCGGTGTAAAAGACACAAACAGTTTCTTATCGTTGCACATGTGGTGGGTGGCCGCTGAATCAACAACGAAGAAAGATCTAGACGTCTTCTGGACCTCTGCAACCTTTGGAGTGAAGCGTGAAACCATAGCCTTGTGCTGCGTTGTCCTAGACACCGGACCTTTGCCTTTGCCTCGGCCTTTTCCGCGCGATGAGCTTTCGCTGCGCTGCTCTGTCTTGGCCCTGGGATGTCTGCATTCCCTCTTCATATGGCCTAGACGTCCACACGAGTAGCATTTGACTGCCTTCAAAGCTTTGGCGCCATCTGGTGGTTCCACTGCACTATGGGATGACGTCTGTGAAGACTCCCCTTGCCCATGCAGCTAGCACCCGGCGATCTGCTTCATTTAAAATCACGGCAGTAACAAAGTCCACTGTCAGCTGAGCAGTTGGTTGCACAGCAATCTGGGTTGCAACAGACTCCCAACCTGAACCCAAAGATTGTAGTATCATGAAAGAATACACAGCCTCTGGAAAGTTGAGTCCTCTCTGTTGCAGCTCATGTCTCAGATTTTGCATCTCCATCAGATGTAAACGCACATCTCCACCTTCAGCAAGAGCCATATTATGCAGCTTGTTAAAATAAAACATAGTGGATCCAGCTTCTGTCCTTAAGTGAGCCTCTCTCAGAGCGTCCCAAATTTCTCTGGCTGAGGTCTTATCACGCAATAGACAGAGCTCTTCTGAGGATACTATCAATGTAAGAGTTCCCCTTGCTTTGGAATCCTTAGCTTCCCATGCATCTGTAACTGGAACTGGGGGTTCCTGTAATCACCTCAAACAAACCCTCTTTCCGCAGAATTGCCTCTGCATACTGAACCCAGTCGCTGTAATTTTTCTTGTTGAGCTTAGGAATCCCACAAGCATCCTGAAGGGCCATCATGACTCTGGCATTAGCCTTCAGCGTCATATGCTGCTTTAAATCTTGCTGCGTCACTGCTGCAGCTGCCTTATTACAAAGGCGCACTTAAAAGTTACTTCGATTTCCCCAGCATAGTGACTTGTGCCTGGGAGCCTTTGCCTATTCCCGGCAAAACCGGCTTTAAAGTTCAAAGTCCAGCCATAAAGCCATTAACTTGAAGCTGGCAGGCTGCCCGGAGCAGTAGCACATACCTCATCAATCACTTCTACGCGCAGAGCAGATTCCTTTCCGATCCGTCCCTCTGCATTCCGATCCTTTGCCGGCACTCCGATTCGACCTCTGGAGCCCATAACCACGTGTTGATTTAAAGCAGAGTCTGTCGTTGCCCAGCGGAAGGATGAGGAATACGTGATACATACTCTATATTGCTTTATTTACAGTTCAAAGCTGGTATATTACAGAAAGACATCTTGCCTCTGCCGGAGCAGAAAAATGCATCCTCTCTCCTCGACAGCTCGGAGAGAATCACACAGTGAAAAAACAGGAAACCAGTGTACGTCACATCCAGTCTCCCTTTCCCGTGAGAAACTCCAACAGTACAGACTGTGGAATGTAAACACCTGTCTCATGACAAGTAGATGCTGCTCAGTGAAGGAAATAGAAACCAACAGTGAAGGCGGTCTTCACCATTCCTCTTCTGCCCATTCCCCGACACATGTCCCTCCAATATTTTATTCAAGTGGGCAGCCCTGAACTATGGGGCAGCCCTTTGACTTTGGAATCATGCAAATGATGTCACTTGTGAATCAGGGGCTCACCCATACAAATGTATACACCAGCCTTCCCCAACTTGGTGCCCTCCAAATATTTTAGACTACAACTGCTGTCATCACTGACCATTTGCCATGCTGGTTGGAGCTGGTGGAATATCTAGTCCAAAAACAACTGAAAGACAACTACTGAAAGACAACAGAGTAGTGCATGTCCTGGTTATCTCCCGCTTGGACTACTGCAATGCGCTCTACGTGGGGCTACCTTTGAAGGTGACCCAGAAACTACAATTAATACAGAATGCGGCAGCTAGACTTGTGACTGGGAGTGGCTGCTGGGACCACATAACACAGGTCCTGAAAGACCTACATTGGCTCCCAGTACATTTCTGAGCACAATTCAAAGTGTTGGTGTTGACCTTTAAAGCCCTAAATGGTCTCAGCCCATTATACCCAAAGGAACATCTCCACCCCCATCATTCAGCCCGGACACTGAGGTCCAACTCTGAAGGTCTTCTGGCAGTTTCCTTCCTGTGAGAAGTGAAGTTACAGGGAACCAAGCAGAGGGCCTTCTCGGTAGTGGCGCCAGCCCTGTGGAAAAGTTGCTGGGCTCCCTGTGTTATGTCATAGTCCCGTTGCTCTGCCTGGAGGCAGAGTTAGCATCCAACGTCAGGTCCAGTCTTAGGGTCAGGAGAACAGCAATCCATGTAGTCAGATGGTCAAGCGGTCAGGAACTCCAATGAGTATGGGGTCAAGGCAAGCAGGAAGCAGCAAGGTAGGACCAGAAACTAAAAGCATTGTTACCAGTCTCTGACTGCTGCTGGAAGCTATGCTTAAGCAGGCTGAAGCCAGCTGGTTCTCATCAGTGCCTTTTCCTCTGTGTCCGTGAAGGCTGATTGGCTGCAGGTGGCCCCGTGCCCCCTTCTCGTGACATTCTGTTTCTCTGAATATAGACTTAACTTCACGGACACCTTGTGAATTATTGCTGACTTGCTCCCAACACCCTCCCTGACAGCTACCCTGTGATGCTGCCTGAGCCAAGGTCATCCAGTAAGCTTCAGAGTCAAGTTGAGATACACACACACACACACACACACACACACACACACACACAGACAGACACACACACACACACACACACACACACCACCCTATGCCCGGAGGTCTCAGGGCGGTTCACAGAACAAAATCAGAATATAAAACCACTATATATATAACCAGTGCTTTTTTTCTGGGGGGACGCAGGGGTACAGATATCCCTAAATATTTTGTGAATCTAAGTTTGGACTCACTGAGATGCAGTACTTCAATATGAGTAGGAAAATGAGAGTACTCGTAAACATATTTTTTTTTAGAAAAAAGCGCTGTATATAACCAAATAAAAACAACAACCCAATAACACCCCCCCCCCCAAAAAAAGAACATAGGATGTAAAGACCATAGGGTGTAAATTAGATCCTGGTAAAAAAGGAATGTTTTTGCCTGGTGCCTAAAGGTGTATAATGAAGGCGCCAGGCAAACTTCCCTGGGGAGAGCATTCCACAAATGGGGAGCCACTGCAGAGGAGGCCCTGTTTCCGTGTTGCCACCCTCCAGACCTCTCGAGGAGGAGGCACACGAAGAAGGGCTTCAGAGGCTGATCTCAGGGTCTGGGTAGGTTCATACTTCCATAGTTTCAACTGATGTCTCAGTCTCAGTCCTAGTCCCGTAGTCTAACAGCGGTCCAGGCACACGACTAGCTGGTTTGGCACTGACCTCACATTTATGGCCTGGTGAAAAGATTCCACAATCTATATTGTCACTTGAACAGTCTAGTGCCAAAGCTACCCATCACGTGATGCTCCGGTGTCTAAGAGCAGTCAGAGAATTAACCTAAATTGAACTTCTGGGCAGATTTGGAGAATCCTGCTCAGGCTAAATATCAGCAGAAATTCCAGAGGAAATTCATTAAGAAATTCAGAATCATTCACAACATTTCTCAAAGGAGTTTCACTTACTTTTAACTGCAGTTGACTTTAATTACTGCAGAGATAAATGCAGGGCAAGGAACTGCTGGATTCAGTCATGGCTCCTTGTCTCTTGGTGCAGTCTCCTCCTGCCAGCGCTGCATGGAGTTCTGCCTCGTTCTCCTCCTTCTTGGCACACCTTTCACCAAAAACACCCAAGTGTCCTGTGAAAGGGCACTTTTTTTCTTGCCACCTCTCTCACACAAACACCCATCACCTTGGCAACCTCTATTTTGCACAGACACATCTCTGATGCGTAGATGATGTCTGGCCATTGTTTCATAATGGCCCACATTCAACCAGCCCAGCCAGGCTAAATTTTTCAGAGACACCGCTGATGGAGTCTTTTGAGGAGTTGGGGATGGCGTTGATAAGTGGTCCATGTTTCACAAGCTTACAGGGAGGTTGGTAATACAATAGCTTTGTAAACAAGCATTTTGGTTTCCCTGCGTCTTCAAACACTCTGCACTTCAATCGGGAGAAAGCTGCGCTTGCAGAGCTCACCCTGTGTGGTGGGGGAACATGAACAATGCCTGCTTTGATGGCTGAATTTGATGTGGGGGTTGGTGTAGGCAGAGGCAATCTCTTAAGGTAGCAGGGGTCTAGGCCACAAAAAGGTTTAGAGCCCTTGAATTGGGAATTATCAACCAGTGCACCTGATATTTTACGGGCTGAATGTGGCTGCAACTCCCAGCATCTGTGAGAGGTACTGTGGCATTTTGAGTTAGCTGAAGATTCTGAGCTTTGGCCAAATCAAATAAGTGTTGGAAATGTAAAGAGAAATAATGTTCTTTATATCCTATGTGGTGGTCTTGTAGTAAGGTTAAAGCTTACTAGGAAATGATATCTAATGAATTGAAAAAGATGTTTAAAATAATGTTTGTAAAAAAACAAACAAACCCAGAAGTTTTTCTTTTGGGAATTATAGGGACAGAACTACCAAACTGTATAGAAATTTATTCATTTATGCAACTACAGAGGCAAGAATGTTACTTGCCCAAAAGCATCTTTGATGCGTAGATGCGTAGATGCCTGGCCATAGTTTCATACTATCTTTGTGCTGCACTTATATGGCACCGATTGCATTCCTAACATTTACAGCCTAAATTATAATGCCCTAAATTGCTTTCATTATCCAAAGAATTAAATGGTGTTGCCAGTATTTCAGAATATTATGGGACTGAGCATTTTGGGCCACTTCATTCTGGGCATGTTGGCACATAATCTGCAGCAGCCTTTTCTCTTTTAAGACGTTTTACAGATCGCAACAGTATCCTGCTGAGTCATGGTGACACCAAAATAAGAAAAAAATAGTTTCTCTCTGGTCACTTCCATGCTCTTTGTGTTAAATCTGTGGTATGTTTTGAAAAGTTTGAGCCTTATTATCCCTTTATATAAATACACCCCTCCACTCAGGTCCACAATCTGGATAAAGGCCACGAGAACAAAACACACCACTCTTTGTCTATCGTACAACAGATTTCTTTTAGGCAAAGGTTAGTCTTCTGTGTGTAGGCACATAAATCTGCATCTATTGTAGAATGTTAAAAGTTCCTGCTTAGTATAATAAGATCTAAAAAAGAAATGAGACCAGATGGTGGAGGTGCAGGCAGAGAAACAATAGATATTTAGCAAAAAAAAAAAAAAAGTATTGGCTATAATAAGTTTTGTGGAAGGACATTACATTCTCTCTGACGCAATACTTTTGCTGTTGTTCTGTCTCAAAACCTGGATTGTCAACGTGATGGCCATGGGAGAACATGTGCCCACAGAGGCCTCCCCTGGTGGCCCCTTTACTAAAATTAGGCTTTAAATAATTGTTTTTCTAATGCCAATAGAATGGGTTGTGGTCTGTGCTTGGTTGCAGTATGTGTACAGTATGGCAGAAGGTAAAGGTAAAGGACCTCTGGACGGTTAAGTCCAGTCAAAGGCAACTATGGGGTTGCGGCGCTCATCTCGCTTTTCCGGCCGAGGGAGCCGGCATTTGTCCACAGAAATATTTCCAGGTCATGTGGCCAGCAGGACTAAACCGCTTCTTGCACAACAGAACACCGCGATGGAAACCAGAGCACATGTAAATGCTGTTTACCTTCCCACTGCAGCGGTACCTATTTATCTACTTGAACTGGTGTGCTTTCGAACTGCTAGGTTGGCAGGAGCTGGGGCAGAGCAAGGAGAGCTCATACCATTGTGGGGATTCGAACTTCAGACCTTCCAGTCAGCAGGCCCAGGAAGCTCAGTGGTTTAGACCACAGCGCCACCCACCTCCCACATGTGCATGGTATCCACAACAGGCTCTCTAGTTGCAAATGGGTCAATTGGCCAAAGAGATGTATTACCCCTAAAGGATAGTGCAGCCCTGATCCTTTAGCATGCATACACAAGGTCTCCAGAAAGAAGCTGAAATCCCTCTGATCAGCCACTTTACATAGAAGAGGAAGTAGGAAAGGACATAACTTAATAGTCTGCTCTTCCTCCTGAACATTAGGATTCATTCAGGCTTTGCTTACAAGATAGGTGAAGCCATGGCTCCTGGATTTGGGTGGGGAATTGTTCGTGAAATGGGGATTCCTTTTAGCTCCCGGATTTTTTGTGTCAGTTCTATAACTGTTTCAAGCTCCTGGGAAATGGTTACTGACCTTAAAGTCTCCATCCTTGTATGAAGAAACTTTAAATGGTGACTGCTACATGAACAAAAGGATTAGATTGTGTTTGTTTGTTTGTTTTTTAAAAAAGGTCAGTGCTAGCGGTTGTGAACTGAATTGGCACAAATATTATTTTGGGGGGAGTAATCACACTACAAATGTTAATTGGTTTGCTATTGGCAGGATGGCTGTGTTTTCAACATCTGTGTGAGTTTTTTTTCTAATGGCCGGTGTTAATAACATAATTATCACTGTCTATACTTTCTGCATTTCATTTTGTTTTGACCCCATAATAACTCTGTTTGTGTGTATCAGAATAGCACTGTGCATCTGATGAAGTGGACTATAATTCACAAAGCTTCTTCCGTAATAAATTCATCAGTCTTCAAGTTTTTATTTATACTTTTCAAGTGTATACATTTCATTAGATTTACAATCAATTTAACATTTCAAAGTTTGACTTCCTTCCCCCTCTTTCTGCGGTTCCTTAAATTTATTTTTTAATATATCCTGCATATCCAAATTCATTTAATTTGTTCATTTAATTATCTACTTTAAATAAATACTCTTAGGAAACTGCAGGTTATTACAATCATCTGCTAATGTTTTAATCTGTTGGCAATTTATCTGTAAATATTCCACAGTTTCCCTTCTTTTATAAAAAGTGTGTTATCTTGATTTCTTATTCTTCTGGTAAGTTTCCCCATTTCTGCATATTCCATAAGTTTTTTTTATCCATTCATCAGTCTTCAAGGCACCACAAGAGTCCTTGTTGTTTTAGGTACCTTCTATTTCCCTTGCAGGATGCAGACAAGCTTCAGAGGAAGTACCATATTTTTCGCTCCAGACCACAAGACGCACCTAGTTTTTGGAGGAGGAAAACAAGAAAAAAAATATTCTAAATTTCAGAATCCAGAACAACAAGAGGGATTGCTGCGCAGCGAAAGCAGCAATCCCTCTTGCTGTTCTGGCTTCTGGGATAGCTGCGAAGCCTGCATTCACTCCATAAGACGCACACACATTTCCCCTTACTTTTTAGGAGGGAAAAAGTGAGTCTTATAGAGCAAAAAATACGGTATGCTCAAGGAGAAAATGAGAGAGTTTAAACAGCTCTCCTCTAACACAATGGGCTCAATCCAGCCCCATGGTTGCATTTCACTTGCAGTATCCCATGTATGCAGCTCCCATGTCATGAAGAATTGTGCTCTGAAAAAAACTTGCAGATAGAAAACTGCTAAAGATAATTTTTGGTTGCTACAAGTTTGGAAGATTATGAAACTTATTCAGTGTGAAGAAAGAAGGACAGCTATTGAATAAATTTATAGACAGATGGGAGGAAAGCAATATTTTCACTGGTAATTCTGACGATCAGGCCTCACAGGAAAGATTGCGATTATAGCTATTGTACTAAAATGGTGAATACTGTTTTATCAGAAGATATGAAATTGTTTTTCTTTTGTTACCAGTTAACAAAACAAAGACGTAGATCAAAAATAGCATCTTGAGACTTTTAGGGAGATCCCCCCCCCCATCAGAAAGCATGTGGAGGATCAATTTTTGTTCATGCTCCCTCATCTCATACGGAAAGGAAGCATATTAGGAAGAATGTTTCTAACCTAGCCTTAAAGACACCTATTTGAAAAATTCCTGCACTCAGAGCCTTGCTACCTGGAGCCGTGCTGAAGTTAAAGGACAGCTTGCTGGCTACATTTGGAATTAAGATTTAAAGCTTCAGTGTTCATATTTCTTCAATTTACTAAAATATGGCTGATGAGTGCAAAAATATAGTCATGGTAATTCAAAGGTAGGATATTTTTTCCCCTCTACCTCAGATTTATTAGTGCTAAAAATATTTCATATTATCCTTCAGCAGAATATATGCTGAGCATTCAGCAAATTAATGAGGTCATGTAAGCTGCTAGTATTTTTGTTTTTTTCTGCAGTTTGTAGGAACTGCTAATTTTCCATTTTGTTTAACCAGCCTCATATTCAAGAGTGAGTTCAGTTTATTGGTTTCCAAAAGTGTCTTACCTGCCATTTACTGCAGTTTCTCAGAAAGCACCATCTAAGATCACAATAAAACCAAATGGGAATCATGAGATTGAACCTCCACAAATTCGCCTTACTGAGTGTATAATAATCTGAAAGTCAAAACTTGATCTTATCCATATGACAATAAAACCATTGCAATAACCCATAAGAGATCCAGGAAAACGGCAAAAGCTCCAGCAGAATAAACATTTCATCAATAAACAGAAACTTTTATCATATCACACACTTGCACTTTAACTGCCAATACAATTCAATCGCACTTTTACTGTCAGCCTCTTATCCCCCCCCCAAAAAAAAGAAGAAAAAAGAAAGAAAGAAAGAAAGAAAGAAAGAAAGAAAGAAAGAAAGAAAGAAAGATGCAGGGAAGATATACCTGCAAAAGACTGGAAACATGCAGAGATGAGCTAGCTGAATTCTCATGGTTTCCAGTAAATTCTATGGGACAGAAAGAAAATGGGTGCAATGTGGGACTTGACTGAAAGTAAGAAAAACCTGGCCCCAATCCCGTTGTTGTTATTATTATTATTATTATTATTATTATTATTATTATTATACATTTTATTAGTTTTACCATCAATTTAACATTTCAAAATTTAACTTCCTCCCCCCTCTTTCTGAGGTTCCTTTAAAAAAATTTTTTTTAATATCTTCTGCATATCCAAATTCATTTAATTTGCTCATTTATCTTCTTTAAATATATACTCTTATGAAACTGCAGGTTATTACAACAATGTTTTTATCTGTTTGCAGTTTATCTGTAAATATTCCATAAACCATTTCCATTCTTTTATAAAAAGTTTGTTATCTTGATTTCTTATTCTTCCGGTTAAGTTTCGCCATTTCTGCATATTCCGTACGTTTTCGTATCCATTCTTCCTTTGCTGGGACTTCTGCTTCTTTCCACTTTTGGGCAAGTAACATTCTTGCTGCTGTAGTAGCACACATGAATAAGTTTCTGTACAGTTTCGGTAGTTCTGTCCCTAGAATTCCCATAAGAATTATTATTATTTTTCTCATCATCATCATTTCCCAGCATACCACCATACTTTTTCCCATTTAAGTGAATGAGTGACAGTACTGGAAACAGTGCATCATCCCTTAAGATTCTCTCAGGCTCCTCCCCAGACTTGCCAGATTCCTTAAAGTTCTACTCTTACTCTATCTCTAGCTAGGCAGATTTCACCTAGGGCAGGCTAGGCCCTCCAGATGTTTTGAGACTACAATTCCCAGCATCCCTGACCACCGGTCCTGTTAGCTAGGGATCATGGGAGTTGTAGGCCAAAAACATCTGGAGGGCTGAGGTTGAGGAAGCCTGACCCAAGGTTACTTAATCCCAACTCCAGCCTTCCAGGCTGCATTGGTGGGCGAGCTCAACTTTAAAAGATATTGTTGAAAACAAAAGCCAGCAACCTACAGCAGAACAGGACAGCTGTTGCATATGTCGCGATCATACCAGCAGCGTAGTGCTGGTTGCCCTCGCTACCGATGCCTCCAGAGCAACCCCACCCCCGCTGGAGCGAAGAAGGGCCACACTTGGTGTAGTGGTTAAGAGCGGTAGACTCGTAATCTGGTGAACCGGGTTCACATCCCCGCTCCTCCACATGCAGCTGCTGGGTGACCTTGGGCTAGTCACACTTCTCTGAAGTCCCTCAGCCCCACTCACCTCACAGAGTGTTTTTTGTGGGGGAGGAAGGAAAAGGAGATTGTTAGCTGCTTTGAGACTCCTTCGGGTAGTGATAAAGCGGGATATCAAATCCAAACTCCTCTTCTTCTTCTTCTTCTTCTTCTTCTTCTTCTTCTTCTTCCCGGCCCTTGCAGTGGGGAGCCCAGTTGGCCGACGTGACTCTTGGCAAGCGGAGAAGATCACTGGGCCAGGCCACGCTGGGTTTGCCTGTGGAAAGATTACAAAGACTTTATTTGCGTAGCCAACAGGCCATAGCATCAAAGGACAGACACCGACAAAAATACATTACAAATATAGTTACCGTATAATCTTATGACCTATTAAAACCCTAAGTAGAAGCTGGATTATCATTCATCAATGACCCTCTGTCCCATAGGCAGTGGCCTTTTCTCTGGTAGATTGTTCCAGGTCGGTTAAGTAAATAGACCAGCCAAATTGAAAGATTATAAATATAAATATAACCTCGGGGGGATGGTCAGGACAGGGAGAAAGATAATAATAACCAGATGCAGATAGGTTAAAAATCTCAGTACCTAAAACTTAGCAGAGATAATAAAATACTAATAATAAAACATAAGGATAATAATGATAGGATCCTTGGCAAGGAATCCGGGTGACGACACTGATGTCATTCAGATAGCAGCTCTCAGTCTCATTGCTCTCTCGAAAAATTTAGCAACCTTCTCTGTTGTCGAGCTGTTCTGGTCGGCTAGGTGTGAGAACAATTTGGCTTCACAAGAGCGGCCCGGGATAGCAGATAGGAGCGGCGTGATGGTTGCTTGGTTTGCACCCGCTCAAAAATTGTGCACTCAGGCCCCACTCCCGGCACCCCCCACTCTATGCCCCTGGATCATAATGGGAGGTGGCAGGCAGATAGGTTCATAAATAAATAAAAAAGTTAAAGGACCCCTGGACAGTTAAGTCTAGTCAAAGGCGACTATGGGGTTGCAGCACTCATCTCGCTTCAGGCCGAGTGAACTGGCGTTTGTCCACAGACAGCTTTCCGGGTCAAGTGGCCAGCAGGACTAAACTGCTTCTGGCGCAACGGGACACCGTGACGGAAGCCAGAGCGCACTGAAATGCCATTTACCTTCCCACCATAACAGTATCTATTTATCTTCTTGCACTGGCGTGCTTTCGAACTGCTAGGTTGGCAGGAGCTGGGACAGAGCAACGGGAGCTCATGCCGTCGCAGGGATTCGAACCACTGACTTTCTGATCGGCAAGCCCAAGAGGCTCAGTGGTTTAGACCACAGCACCACGAGCGTCTCATCCAGGTTTGTAAATATGCTCATGTTTGCATGGTACTCTCTCTCTCTCTCTCTCTCTCTCACACACACACACACCACCTTTGAACCAATAGAGAATTCACTTTTCCGTAAAATCCTTTCACCATTGGATTCCTCTGTTAAGAGTTGCAGAAGGAGAATACACCATTTTCTCTTCCTCCGTAGAGTTTTGCTACTTGCAAAAGCCTGCCATTATAATTTACTCATTGGCTTTCCATTCCCATTTCTTTCCCTGCGAGATAACATAAAGATCAGCTGCTCCCTGCTGTGATAATTCACGTAGATCATGAGACTTTGATAGACGTGACAACAGAAATAACCTTCAGGTTGCTACTCCTTTTATGCTAGCTGCACACACAAGAGCCCTCTACCCCAGAGTGCCCGGCGTGAGGGTTACAAAAGGTCCTCACCCGCAAGTGCAGAGTTCAGAAAGTAAAAAAAAAAATCTTATCACGACCACCTCACAGCGTAAAGCCAGAGATTAATCATGGGGGAAGGGGTGCTCTCTGTTATTGACAGAGTTGTATCGCAGAAATGACAGCGTGAGGCAGGTAAGCAGTACTTGTGAGTGCACAACAAACTGGAGAAAGGGATTTTCATAAAGCTCAGACAGATACCCTTTGGAATGGAGTGCTTAAACAAGCTGGTGGGGCTTTGCAGAAGGAAATAGATAGCATCGCTGGATCGGGCGTCTGTTTTCACCATATGCTTACAAGAGATAGCTAGATCACAGAAAGCAGAGAGCGAGAGAGAGTCTATTAAGCCAGATGAGTGGAAGGGTATTCAATGAGACTAATGAGTAATGCATCTTAGACAGCATCTTAAAAAGCAGACACATCACCTTGCCAACAAAGGTCCATATAGTTAAAGCTATGGTTTTCCCAGTAGTGATGTATGGAAATGAGAGCTGGACCGTAAAGAAGGCTGATCGCCGAAGAATTGATGCTTTTGAATTATGGTGCTGGAGGAGACTCTTGAGAGTCCCATGGACTGCAAGAAGATCAAACCTATCCATTCTTAAGAAAATCAGCCCTGAGTGCTCACTGGAAGGACAGATTGTGAAGCTGAGACTCCAATACTTTGGTCACCTCATGGGAAGAGAAGACTCCCTGGAAAAGACCCTGATGTTGGGAAAGATGGAGGGCACAAGGAGAAGGGGACGACAGAGGACGGGATGGTTGGACAGTGTTCTTGAAGCTACCAGCATGAGTTTGACTAAACTGCGGGAGGCAGTGGAAGACAGGAGTGCCTGGCGTGCTCTGGTCCATGGGATCACAAAGAGTCGGACACGACTAAACGACTAAACAACAACAACAATGAGTAACGCCTTGGAATGGCAAACAAAAGATGAACGGGTTAAATCTGTAATGATACACTGGGCAAGGGATTTGGGGCATAATATCCAAATTTCAGATTGGAAAAGGTTATGGAAAACTGACTTGAAATTCTTGGCGTGTTGTACGCTGAAAGAAAACTACAATGGTACCTCTGGATGCGAACGGGATCCGTTCCGGAGCCCCGTTCACATCCTGAAGCAAACGCAACCCGCGTCTGCACATCTGCACGTGCGCGGGTCGCGATTTATCACTTCTGTGCATGCGCGCAACGTCATTTTGAGCGTCTGTGCATGCACGAGTGGCGAAACCCGGAAGTAACGCGTTCCATAACTTCCAGGTCACCACGGAGCGCAACCCAAAAATGCTCAACCCGAAGCTACTTCAACCCAAGGTATGACTGTATATGAAAATCATGTACTGGTGGTATTTGACTCCTAGGAAATTAGCAAAAATGTATAAGACAAGCACAAATACCTGCTGGAAATGTAAAGAAAAAGGAGGTACCTTTTACCATATGTGGTGGTCGTGTAAGGTAATAAAAGCATTCTGGGAAATGATATATAATGAATTGAAAAAACGTTCAAAATAACTTTTATTTTAAAAAGAAGCTTTTTTATTAAGAATTGTAGGTACCGAGATCCCAAAGGAGCAGAAAAGACTTTTCATGTACGTGACAACAGCTGCATGCATGCTACTAGCCCAGAGATGGAAAGAAGATAAAGTCCCTACCAGAGAGGAATGGCAAACCAAGCTGCTGGACTGCACCAAAATGGCAAAACTGACCAGAAAACTCAGGAACCAAGAAGACAAAAACTTCAATAAAAGATGGGGAGAATTTATAATTTATTTAGGAGACCACTGTAAGCAAATGAAAACATTAGCAGGATTTTAATAACACTTACAATGTAACAATCACTATAGACAATATGGAGAGATACAAAATATGGATTATGAAATAATATGCGGTTGGAAATGTTGACAATAAGACCCATAGAGTGGAGGCTGGGAAGTCTGGCGAAATCTCTAAATATGGATATGTATTTTGGTATTGTTATAACTTTACACTTGCAGGACAAGGCATTGGTCTTTTCATACCCCAACCGAACTAATAAGAGACCAATGAGACTGGTTTTGGGGGTCAAAACAGGCCACAACTTTACTGAAAGTCTTTAAATTCTTCTGGATGACCTAACATGGCAGTAAAGCCTCTCCTCCTCCCGGGGGGGAGGGGTTGTGATCTGGAACCGTTCCCATGCTTCGCAGGGCGCGTTTCGGCCCCTGCTTGCCGTCATTGCTGCCGCGCCATGCTTCCCGGTCAGTCTTCCAATTGGAGGGAAGCTCGGGGGCAGGGTTTAGCCGGTCAAATGCGGCCGCGGCAGCTCTTTCCCCTCATTGCGCTGCCGGGTTTCAACGGGTCAACCACCCACCCTTCCCTTTAGTTCATCGCTTCGTGCTTGACCTTGCTATGGACCTCTGGTTGGTCGCCCTGGTTGCCCAAGGGGCCTGGTAGGAGTTTTTACCCAATTGGCAAATTGGCGCCGGCCACTTGGTTTTTCACCTACCTTCTAGCAAATCGTCACAACTTTCTGGTATTGCCGGTTAGGCATTGGAATATGTTGTTGGTGTATGGAAGGGCAGGGTGTGGCCATCGCCTACCGCTTCACTTTATGGGTATTCCGTTAAAGGAATCTGGTGGTCGTGGATCCTGTCCGATGACCTGCTGGTGGCTGGGGGCCGTGGCACGACCCCCGGTGACATCAGGGGAGAGCTTACGGTTGTATTTGCATCAACAGGCTCCCCCTATTGGTGGTTAACCCTTGTTAGGCTCACCCCTCCCTGAGGGGGTGGAGTCAAGCTCTGCTGTTTATCCAATGCCTAAGCCAATACCTCTCACATGCTGTAATCAATAAAGTTGTGGCCTTTTCTTGCCCATTAACCTACTACAGGTGAAACTCAAAAAATTAGAATATCGTGGAAAAGTTCATTGATTTCAGGAATTCAACTTCCAAGGTGAAACTAATATATGAGATCAACTCATGACATGCAAAGCAAGATGTGCTTCCACTTCTCGGAGGTCCAATCTTGCTCCATTTCCAATCTTTGTTTTGCTGATTTCCTTGAATATTCTAATTTTCTGAGATTGTTAATTTGGGGTTTTCATCAGCTGTATGCCATGACCATCACAATGATAACAAATCAAGGCAAAAATATCTCGCTCTGCATGTCACGAGTCTATCTCATATATTAGTTTCACCTTTTAAGTTGAATTACGGAAATCAAGGAACTTCTCCACGATATTCTAATTTTTCGAGTTTCACCAGTATACTGTGTCCTTGTGTCTTTCTTATCCCAAAGTGGGGGGTTCCTCGAATCACAATGTGGGTTTCCTGTTTTAAAATGTCTCGTGCCTCTTCTGGCAACCGTCGCTCCCTCTATCCCGCTCTTTGTTGTGGCCATACATTCAGAGCTAGGGATAGAACATTGAGCCACTTCCAAGAGGAACTCAGCAAGCTGAGCAGCACGGAGACAGAACAATGGCTACTGGCAACAGAGCAGAAACAGAGGGACAGGGTATTTTTGAATATTATGTTGCTGGAAAGCAAGAGGGACCACACAATAAAAATGGGAACCAGAAGAGAGGAGAATAGAGGACAACAAAAAGACAATTAAGCGGTCAAATGACAGCTCATTTGAGCTGGCTGTATTTATTATATTACATGGAGACCAGACCTCTTTTCTTGTTCCAGGTTCCTTCTCTTTCACTTCTGGTATTCCTCTCAATCCCAAATCATTTTAGATAGAGTTTCAAGCTTAACGTTGACGACGACAAATTTAAGAATCATCTTTTTACACATACGTCTCAATGTAATTTAGAGATATTAAAACAGCTATAATAGGGTTTGTTTGTTTGTTTGTTTTTTAAATGTACAAAAAACTGAAAGTTGGTTTTTAAAAACTGGTGGGTCAATCAACTACAGCCCTGGAGGTGCTACAGACTACTGCTTTCATCACTCCTTGAAATTTGCCATGCTGGCTGGAGCTGATTAGGAACTATAAGTTCAATGACATCTCAGAGGTGCCCATATAACTGCCAAATCCTGTTGAGTTGGATGAGTTTCGGCCCAGTATACCTGAAGGAGCATCTCCACCCCCATCATTCAGCCCGGACACTGAGGTCCAGTTCCAAGGGTCTTCTTGCGGTTCCCTCACTGGGAGAAGGGAGGTTACAGGGAACCAGGCAAGAGGGCCTTCTCGGTAGTGGTGCCCGCCCTGTGTAATGCCCTCCCATCAGATGTCAAGGAAATAAAGAACTATCTGATGTTTAGAAGATATCTGAAAGCAGCCCTGTTTAGGGAAGTTTTTAATGTTTGGTGTTTTATCATGTTTTTAATATTCTGTTGGGAGTTGCCCAGAGTGGCTGGGGAAACCCAGCCAGATAGGCAGGGTATGTATGTATGTATGTATGTATGTATGTATGAATGAATGAATAAATAAATAAACTATTATTATTATTATTATTATTATTATTATTATTAGCAAGGCTTAAGCATGTGGACAAGGCCTTGTAAATGTGTTTGTGGGTAGGTGGGGTATTGCTTTGTTTCCGTTTCCATTTTTGCTTTTGTTTTAGCATGTATTCTAGTGAGCCTTCCTGTGATCTATACAAGTTCATAACAATAGATAGATAGACAGATAGACAGACATATATAGCTATAGCTATAGATATAGATACCCCTGACCGTTAGGTCCAGTTGCGGACGACTCTGGAGTTTCGCGCTCATCTCGCTCTATAGGCTGAGGGAGCCGGCGTTTGTCCACAGACAGCTTCCGGGTCATGTGGCCAGCATGACGAAGCCGCTTCTGGCGAACCAGAGCAGTGCACGGAAATGTAGTTTACCTTCCCGCCGGAGCGGTACCTATTTATCTACTTGCACTTTGACATGCTTTCGAACTGCTAGGTGGGCAGGAGCAGGGACCGAGCAACGGGAGCTCACACCGTCACGGGGATTTGAACCACCAACCTTCTGATCAGCAAGCCCTAGGCTCAGTGGTTTAGACCACAGTGCCCCCACATCCTTATAGATATAGATATATTAAGAGGGAGAGAGAGAGAGAGAGAGAGAGAGAGAGAGAGAGAGAGAGATGTTGAGGACCATTAACCACTTCTGAACTAAAACAGCAATTCATGGATTAAGGATGTGTCAGTGAAAGCAAATCTTAAAAATTGGTAAGGCTGAGAATTAAAGGTCACTTGGCTTCTGAACCTGTTTTGGTTCTGCTGCATTGTGGGCAAAGAGTGGGGGGGAACAATTTTAAGGTTGCCTTTTCTTCTAAAAACGTGCTTTCATTTGCTTATTAAATTGCTTGTATTCTCACACTTTCTTGCAAATCTGAACGAATCTTTGTCACTGAATTCATTCTATACAGATTTGTTTAAACGAAATCCACTGATTAGCTTAAGTATCCAGTTAAAAGTAATCAAAAGGAACCTGTCACAAATGCTGCAATCCAATGGGCGCTAATGCGTCTAAAATGTTGGCTTAATTCTTTCAGGACCCTTTTACAGCATTCATTTGGGAATCATTGGACAAGTGTAAAGTATCTCTTTGAATCCTGGCCAGCTGTTTGTTATCCCATTGGTTCTGGCTTGCTCTAAAAGAAATCTCTTTGCCCAGAAAACATTTCAGTTTGGCTTCTTTTCCACAATAAACAAACAAACGACACTTTAAAAAATGCTCATCTGTTAAAATATGTAAATCTCTACTTAAAAGTTACTCGATTAGCAGAAGAAATAAGCAGTCATTGTGGCTTTATTTCAAAATGAAAAGTATTAACAGTTGCTCACAAGGGCAAGTGAGGGTCTTCCACCAAAATCTAATTTTCAGAGCTTTCCAAAGGGGGGAAAAATGGGGTTTATTTATACAACCAGCCTGTTGACTGCTGTTTCAGAAATGGGTGGGGGACAATGTTATTTGGTTAAGAATTTGGCACCTTGTTCAGAAATACAAGGTTTTCCTATTAAAAATACATCTTGATTTTCTCGCAACCCTTTGAAATTCTGCGATTGAATCAGAGCTAAAAAGGGCTAACTGACTCAAATGTCACCAGAGTTGCAAACACTGAGAGGCCTTAGACCTCCTGGGATTTTTTCTCAGCTTTGCCCTCTTGTGCAATGGAGTGATAATGATACCGCGTTACTTGATAGGTTGCAAGCATGACTGTGAATGTGTTGTGAAGCACTTTGAACACTCAGAAAAGGTGCTGTATATGCTGCGAATCTTTCATAATGAGGTTTCAGATATTTGCAAGTCTGTCCACCTTTTCAGACCCTCCAAGTGCCCCTATTTTTCAGGGACACTCCCTGGTATACCGAAGCTGACCCAGTTTCTGATTTGATCCTGGAATGTCCCACTTTTCCTCAGAGTGTTCCTATTTTCATTGGAGAAATGTTGGACGCTATGGTAGGATCTTGCTATTGTCATCAGAGAAATATTGGCAGGTATGGAGTTATGTGAACCCTGAGGCAAGGAAATAAGTAACTGTATAACCTTTAGAAGTCACCTGAAGGCAGCCCTGTACAGTGGTACCTCGGGTTACATACGCTTCAGGTTACAGACGCTTCAGGTTACAGATTCCGCTAACCCAGAAATAGTACCTCGGGTTAAGAACTTTGCTTAAGGATGAGAACAGAAATCGTGCTTTGGTGGTGCGGCGGCAGCAGGAGGCCCCATTAGCTAAAGTGGTGCTTCAGGCTAAGAACAGTTTCAGGTTAAGAACGGACCTCCAGAACGAATTAAGTACTTAACCCGAGGTACCAATGTATAGGGAAATTTTTAATGTTTAATGTTTTATTAAGTTTTTGTGTATGTTGGAAGCCACCCAGAGTAGCTGGGGAAACTAGTCAAGATGGGTGGGGTATAAATAATAAAATGATGATGGTAAAATAGGATTTCCCTATTGTCATCGGAGAAATGTTGAAGGGTATGCCTTTTCCTTCTCCCATAAAAAAGCCCGGATACAGAGGCCCAGCTCCGAGGGTCTTCTGGTGGTTCCCTCCATGCAAGAAGTGAGCTTACAGGGAACCAGGCAGAGGGCCTTCTCGGTAGTGGCGCCTGCCCTGTGGAACGCCCTCCCATCAGATGTCAAGGAAATAAACAACTATCTAACTATTTAGTTAGCAGCCCTATTTAGGGAACCTTTTAATGTTTGGCTGGGAGAACCCAGCCAGATGGGCGGAGTATAAATAATCTATTATTATTATTATTATTATTATTATTATTATTAATCAGTGCTTTTTTCTGGGGGGGCTCAGGGGGACACATACCCCTAAACATTTTGTGAATCTAAGTTTGGCCTCATTGAGGGGCAGTATTTCAATATGAGTAGGAAAATGAGAGTACCCCTAAACATTTTTTAAGAAAAAAAGTACTTATTATTATTATTATTATTATTATTATTATTATTATTAAGAACAAAAGACAATCAAGAAAAAAAGCATGGTCCAAACTGGATTTGAACACTGAACCATTCATCTCAGCTTCTGTATGTTGATATGTGCTCAGTGCCTAACTAATGTATGCATTCTTGAATTGAAATAACAATCCTATTCTCTCTCTCAACTTTATTTTCAAGGGAAATATATTCTATTTATTTGGTACATTTATATACCGCCTATTAACTTGGTCCTCCGGACAGTTCACATCATTATCAAAACAACAAACTTCAAGGTGCACTCAGGGTCATGCACATCAAAAGTGTTCAGAGCTCTTCCACAGACCCCTGGCTTCAGCAGTGAAAGAGATCTGTCCCATATCTATCGGCAATTTCCAGCTCTGCTCTGGGGCTGATAACAAAGAAGACAGCAAACATTTTGGCCCATGACTGGGGGCGGGGTGGGGAATTGCATGCATTATCATCCGCACAGTACAGAGATATTTCATCTATTAATAATGCATGGGTTATGAATAAATAGCAAGTGACAATTGGGATGACTGCTGTTTTGGATGTTATAAACCATAACGTTTCTGTGCAAACAGTTCATGAATATAGAGAAGAAAGGATTTTAATGGAATGAATCAGTAGCAGCAGAAGAAGAAAAAAAAGAAAGAATTCCAGATGAAAAGGGAGCTTGTTTTGCACAGCACTGGGAAACACAGAAGGCTGTTCTCATATGAAAGGCAGGTTTCTCCTTTTCCGCATGAATGCACATGGACAAAAGTCTCATTTGATGCTCAGGGATGGATCCTAATTATTTCATTGTATTAATTTAGTCACACATGACATTATTTATATGTACAATGCCATCGACATGCAGAGCAACATGGGGGGGGGGGGAGGAAGAAGGAATGTCCCTTCCCAGGGAAACTTTCCTTCTCAATTTCTGCAGTGGAAGAAACTATTCCTAGAGTGGAAACACTCTGTTGATACATGCTAAACAGACAGCTGCCATCTTCACAGTCCTGCCGACCAATCTTTCATGTTGCATGCTTTAAAGTGCTGTGGGTGCCCGCCCACGCCCCAAATCTCCTTGCAGTGGTCCTGGTATGCATAAGGGATTCCAAATGTCCTCAAATAATAATAATAATAATAATAATAATAATAATAATAATAATAATGTCTCTGCTTTTTAAAAAAGAAAAAAAAAAGCAAAAAAAGGTCCGTATAGTTAAAGCCATGGTTTTTCCAGTAGTGATGTATGGAAGTGAGAGCTGGACCATAGAGAAGGCTGATCGCCAAAGAACTGATGCTTTTGAATTATGGTGCTGGAGGAGACTCTTGAGAGTCCCATGGACTGCAAGAAGATCAAACCTCTCCATTCTGAAGGAAATCAGCCCTGAGTGCTCACTGGAAGGACATATGCTGAAGCTGAGGCTCCAATACTTTGGCCACCTCATGAGAAGAGAAGACTCCCTGGAAAAGACCCTGATGTTGGGAAAGATGGAGGGCACAAGGAGAAGGGGACGACAGAGGACGGGATGGTTGGACAGTGTTCTCAAAGCTACGAACATGAGTTTGACCAAACTGGGGGAGGCAGTGGAAGATAGGAGTGCCTTGTGTGCTGTGGTCCATGGGGTCACGAAGAGTCGGACACGACTAAACGACTAAACAACAACATTTTTATTAATTTATTTCTTATACCCTGCCCATCTGACCGGGCCTCCCCAGCCATTCTGGGTGGCTCCCAACACAATATTATAAACACGATAAAACATCAAACATCAAAAACTTCCCTTGAGATGTCTTCTAAAAGTCAGATAGTTGTTTATTTCCTTGACACCTGATGGGAGGGCGTTCCACAGGGCAGGCGCCACCACCGAAAAGACCCTCTGCCTGGTTCCCTGTAACCTCATTTCTCGCAGTGAGGGGATCGCCAAAAAGCCCTTGGAGCTGGACCTCAGTTTCTGGGCTGAATGATGGGGGTGGAGGCGCTCCTTCAGATATACTGGGTCGAGGCCATTTAGGGAGGAGGAGGCACACAAAGGAGGGCTTCAGAAGGTGACCTCAGAGTCTGGGTAGGTTCATGTGGAAAGAAGTTGTCCTTGAGGTATTGCGGTCCTGGGCCGTTTAAGGCTTTATAGGTCAAACCAGCACTTTGAATTGGGCCCAGAAACTAATTGGTAGCCAATGCAGTTGGACCAGGATCAGTGTACTATGCTCAAACCGTCTTGCTCCAGTGAGCAACCTGGCTGCTGAATTCTGCACCAGCTGAAGTTTCTGAACCATCTTCAGAGGCAGCCCTACTTATAACGCATTGCAGTAATCTAACTTGAAGTTACCAGAGCATAGACAACAGTAGTTAGGCTATCCCTGTCCAGACACTCCGGGCCACAGAAGAAGAAGAAGAAGAAGAAGAAGAAGAAGAAGAAGAAGAAGAAGAAGAAGAAGAAGAAGAAGAAGAAGAAGAAGAAGAAGAAGAAGAAGAAGAAGAACAACAACAACAACAACAACAACAACAACAACAACAACAACAACACACCCTGAACTTTCTTATGAGTAAGCATTTTTAGGACCAAAGTATTGTAATGGCTTGCGGGACGCGGGTGGCGCTGTGGGTAAAACCTCAGTGCCTAGGACTTGCCGATTGTATGGTCGGCGGTTCGAATCCCCGTGGTGGGGTGAGCTCCCGTCTTTCGGTCCCAGCTTCTGCCCACCTAGCAGTTCGAAAGCACCCCTAAGTGCAAGTAGATAAATAGGTACCGCTTTATAATGGGAAGGTAAACGGCGTTTCCGTGTGCTGCGCTGGTGCTGGCTCACCAGAGCAGCTTTGTCACGCTGGCCACGTGACCCGGAAGTGTCTTCGGACAGCGCTGGCTCCCGGCCTCTTAAGTGAGATGAGCGCACAACCCTAGAGTCGGACACGACTGGCCCGTACGGGCAGGGGTACCTTTACCTTTACCTTTATTGTAATGGCTTAGCAGTTAGCACAGTAGGTCCTTTGGAAATATGGCTTGCAGCAAGCATTTGCAAGCAACTCGCATGCAAGGATTAATGACCAAAAACACATGGAATTTGTGTAATTTTAATTGGGTAAGGTGCATCATTTTCGCAAGCTTGATAAGGTCATTTGAGAAACAATTAGGTGGCACCATGGGGTAAATAAAGCAGGCACATGGAATAAATGATAGCTCACCTAACCTTTCTTAGCTCCTGTAATTGCGTACACATTATTCAAAGTTAAGCAAAAGGACACACGTAAATTGGACCCTCCACTGTGATATAGCTGCCACGAGACAAACGCGATAATGCCCGGGCTGGCGCATGGCTCACAAAACATGATATTATAGATCTCCTTCAGACCATTGACAGAGTTTGCAAATTGCATAACTTGCCTAATTCCTGCTTTGAGATAGTGTTCCTGCTCGCTGCATAATGCTCATCAGTCTTTCAGAAACTGTCGCGGGTCGCTAACAATAGCTGTCATTGAGAAAATAATCCTAGGCAATTTTCTACCAGATAATTCAACCTACCGTGTTATCTTCTTCAGGGGAGTGAAAGGGGAACGCCAGGGGAGCTTAAACGGTGGCTTTACCCAGCGAAAGATTATTCCAGTTCTGAGGCAGCTCTGCTTAAAAAGGTTAGAAGCCTAGAAATACTCTACATTCCATCAACAGCGGAATGCACTGATAATGGCAGAGTTTAAACAGCCGCTCCAATTATCATCAAATAGCATGTAAAAGTCTACTCCAAAGCTACCAAAGTCTATTAGCTTATCCTTCTCTCAAAGCCATGGTAGTGCTCTAGTTCCCTTCTGCTTCACAATGATATGGATTTGCGTCCGTGAGAATCGGCAGACGGTACTTCGCTCTTATCAGTTGCTGGGGAAAATCGTGAATTCAGAACTTTCCAAAACCTGACGTGAAGCCTATTTAAAATTAGAAACTGACATGAAATCAGTGTTTTGGACTTTGCCCGCTACTTAGAGAGAAGAGCCGTCTTCCATTCCTAGGGTGAGCCAGGCTGGTGGCCCCACGGCAGGGAGGTACCTTGTCATCGTCCCCCAGTGTGTCCTTTGGAAGAAGTGCAGCGGCAGAATAAAACCACCTGGTGCTGTGCCCTGCAAGCAGAGGGGCAGGCAGGTGGTAGGGCTGAGCGATATCCGGTTTTCAACATCGTGATGCATCACCAGCTGAACATCGCAATAGACAATGTCTGGAATAAGGATGGAGCTGTGTAGGTTCTTACACAGCTTTTAGAAGACATCTGAAGGCAGCCCTGTACCGGGAGGTTTTTACTGCTTGATATTTTTATTATGTTTTTAGATGTGCTATAAGCCACCCAGAGTGGCTGGGGAAACCCAGTCAGATGGGGAAGGTATAATAAATAAATAAATAAATAAACAAACAAACAAACAAACAAACAAATGCAGGCCCTAGTTTTGGGCAGAGAACAATCTTTTCTATATTTTCATGAGCATTTTGACAGTATTTAAATATCTAATAATAATCACCATTTTTAAAAATAAATGACGAATGATGATACCTGATTTGAATATAGTTTCCTCCATTAGTTCTACTTACACTACCCATAGCAGACTTCCTAGTTCCAAGTCAGCAGAAACATGTGATTTTGTTGCCCGATTCATCAACATTCACTGAGATAGGTAAAGGTAAAGGGACCCCTGACCATTAAGTACAGTCGTGACTGACTCTGGGGTTGCGGCGCTCATCTCGCTTTATTGGCCAAGGGAGCCAGCGTACAGCTTCCGGGTCATGTGGCCAGCATGACTAAGCCGCTTCTGGAGAACCAGAGCAGTGCACGGAAACACCATTTACCTTCCCGCCGGAGCGGTACCTATTTATCTACTTGCACTTTGACATGCTTTCGAACTGCTAGGTTGGCAGGAGCAGGGACCGAGCAACGGGAGCTCACCCTGTTGCGGGGATTCAAACTGCCAATCTTCTGATTGGCAAATCCTAGGCTCCATGGTTTAACCCACAGCGCCACCTAAAACATGTGTCTTGGGACACCGTACTCTTGCGGGAGTGGGGCCCCGGAAGGCGGGCGTCCCAGTTTTCCGCAGCAACATCAGAGGGTATGTGGACCAAGCTCAGAATGCCTCTTTATCGACATTTCAAATTCACCAACTTTTGAGAATCTGCAACGGTGGCAGAAACAGCAGCTTCTCTCTTTGCTCCATAATCTTTGTTGCCACGGCAAAACAAATATGTTGATGGACTAACATCACCACAGCCGAAAAGCTGACACCAGGGATCAGATGGTAGACCACTGAGAGACTACTGAAGATTGGTGACTTCGACTTTTGAAATCATGGGTATCAGTGAGCATCCTAAAGGATTTTTTACTTCCACACTTTAAGGACAAATAAATCTTGCTAGACAATATGTTTTCTGCCGGTTGGCAGGTATATTATTGTAGGAAGCAGGTGCTTCACCAGTGTCATGGAAGCCACTTTGCATAATAGAATGCAGAAATAAAGACTCAGCATACAGCAGAAGATCTGTTCTTCAGTGTAAATAAATTTAGCAGCCAGTTGGAGAGGTGTATTCTCAAGAGTACTACTATTTTGTCTATTCAGCAAGCCATAAATCAGTTGGCTGTTCCTTTTCTGGCTGCAGAGAGCAAGTGAGTCACAGTCGGTCATGGGAACTTCACAAAGTAAATTTGAGTCACAAAGGCCTGAAAAACGTGGGACCCACATGATAAGTTCTGCCCATTAAGCATATATATGGTCGCCAGGGAGAAGTTCGAGCCTGTTTTGGTCACCTATCTGGGACTGCAAACCTGGTTTCAGAGCTCTCAGCAGATCACGAGGAACAACTGGTGGGCTATCTTCACAAGTACAGTGGTACCTTGGGTTAAGTACTTAATTCATTCCAGAGGTCCATACTTAACCTGAAACTGTTCTTAACCTGAAGCACCACTTTAACTAATGGGGCCCCCTGCTGCCGCCGAGCCACTGGAGCACAATTTCTGTTCTCATCCTGAAGCAAAGTACTTAACCTGAGGTAATATTTCTGGGTTAGCAGAGTCTGTAACCTGAAGTGTATGTAACCTGAAGCGTAAGTAACCCGAGGTACCACTATAGTACAGTTAAAACCTGTGAAAGGTGTCCTTTCAATAGGGCCCTCGGGCCAAAGTGTAGAAATCAGGATCAGATAAGTTTGTTCCTCCAAATGCAAGAGAGGATAACCCCTTGACCCACCAAGCAAAACTCCCAGGATGCCATGCGGTGTCTTGGAGCAGAATGAAAGCTTACATGGGGGTGAGTGAGTGGGGGTGAAAAGGTTAAGTGTTGAGGGTGCCTTGACTGCTCATTTCCAGTTTGGTTTTGGGCAGGCTTCCTGTTATGTACTGAGTTGAATAGGATCCAAAATGCAGCAGTCTGATTGGTCCTAGAACAATAGGATTCAGAATGCAGCAGTCTGATTGGTCCTAGAACAATAGGGTCCAGAATGCAGCAGTCTGATTGGTCCACAGAAGCCACCCAATCCAGCTCCAGGTGGAAGTGAATCCACAACCTGATTGGTCCACAGGTGAATCCCAGAATTAGCCAATCACGTGGGGCCCATTGTGTAAATAATGTATATGAAGCAGACATTCTGGGGGAACTCCCATTCCTCCTCACCACTATGAGCTGAATAAAGAGCATGAAATCCACTCTCGACTCCCGACTATATTTCATGCTCCAATTGGAGAACAGCCTTTACCAAAGGTGTCATGGGCTTTGAAGACGCTCAAACTTAGGACGCAAGGGAGAAACGTGCTAAGAGGAAGGCATGCTTGGCAAATCCACACCATGATCAACTCCCACCCGGAAACCTATGTCCCCACTGTGGAAGACTGTGTGGATCCAGAACTGGCCTCCAAAGTCACTTACGGACTCAGGACTGTGTTCATGGAAGGAAATCTTACTCGGCTACAAGTGATTGCCAAAGAAGAAGAAGAAAGAAGAAGAACTGCAGTTAGAAACAGAGTATTTTCTCCACAGCTATGAAGTAATACCTTCTCCCCAGAGCGGTGTGCAGCTCCCCCTTTCAGGGGGCATTTGTAAGGGGTTGTAGAGCACACATTGGGCAGGGTGCTGGCCTTTAGCCTTCCTGGTTAACTATACTTTTTCCCATTTAAATCACACTTTTAAAGTTTTTGCATTTGATTTTATATTCTGCCTTAACAGTTTATCATCTGCTTACAATGACTGTTGAAAGCTGCCTTGAGCCTCGCAAAGGTGGCAGAGAAACATTTTCAACAGCATCCTCTCAGCTTAGCACCCAAATGCCAAACTTTCTCCCTTGCCATGCCCACGCGGATGTTTCCGTTTGATGTTGCAGGCCTGTTCTTTGGTTTTATGGGCAAAACACAGGCTTCAATTTTTGGCAAGAGCCAATGTTTTTGTGCAGCTCTGCTCTTGATAAGGCAGGAATTTGCTACTAACCCAGAACCACAAAGTGGAAAGAAAGAAGAGAAGGTTATCTCTGCTAGAGTACTCGGCATAAGGAGACCAGGGATGGGCAATCTGTGGCCCTGAAGATGTTGCTGCGAATGTGTGGTTGATCACCGGCTCCCTTTCCGGCCCCACCCCCTTGCCCAAGCCTCCATTGTTGAATGTTCTGCAGACGGAGGCTGTTTGCTTCCCCAGCGACCTGTGACTGGCTGATTAGATTATCTGTCTGGGAACTGTAGAAATGGCTCCCTTTCCTTTCCTAAAGAAGCTGCAGAACTGTGAGTTGAACCCCATAAAAACAGGATTTTTTTCCCCATTGCAAAGTAAGCTCAACAACTTTGAGCTGATTTCAAAAAAATGGGGCTTTCCCCCTTTCCTCCTCTAAAAACTAGGTGCGTCTTATGGAGCGAAAAATATGGTAAATCATATGGGACACATGGCCATCCAACCTCTGCTTTAAAACTTCTAAGGAAAGGGAGTCCAACACCTCCTGAGGGAGTCCATTCTACTTCCAAGCAGCTCTTACTGTCAGAAAGTTATTCGTGATGTTGTCGGAATCTCCGGCCTTGGAACTTGAAGCCATTGGTTCGAGTTCTAACCTTCAGAGCAGGAGAAAACAAGATAATGTTGCAAAACATCTGGAGTGCCCTCAGTTCCCCATTCTTAGCTTAAACCTATGAGGTCTTATCAGAGAAATAACTTCATTTTCTAGCTTAATTCTCAAATAATATGCAGTTGTACCTTGGAAGTTGAACGGAATCCATTCCGAAAGTCCATTTGACTTCCAAAGCGCATCTTCAGTATATTTCAATTTGATTAGGTGCAAAATGGAAGGAGGGGGGATTGTGTGAGCTGTGAGGGGATGGGGAGTTGGGGGGAGCTGTGTGTGGTCTGGCAGCCAATCGGAAGCCGTGGAAGCAACGCCGGACACTCGGCTTCCAAAAATCATTCAAAAACTGGTACAATCACTTCCAGGTTTCGATCATTCGGGAGCTGAAATGTTCGAGTTCAAAGGTATTCAGTTTCCGAGGTTCCACTGTATTTGGAACCTAGCTCGTGTGGTATAAATGCTTTAGTTTTTTCGATTAACTGCAATTTATTAATTTTTTTAGGAAATACAAATTTGGAAAGGGTAAAGAAATCAAGAATGCATATGGGTGTGCATGCGCATGCAAAGGATTTAATCTGTGCCTTGGGATATCTTCAAGGTGAACATTTTTGACCATGAGAGTTCACAAAGTTACAAGAATCATAACCTCCACGTTGTTTTCATCCAAACCCCACAATTGCAAAATGTCATCAGTGATACCGCAAAGTCCGTTTGAAATGATGCCCTTTAGCACAGATAAAGCCAGGTTGCCAGATGCTGTCTTTTTCGCAATTCCCTTGAGCCAGAGATGCTGAACGTGAGGGATGCTTTTCTTGTCAAGCTGCTGAGCACAGCCTGAAGCAGCTCTGCATTATTCCAGAAAACAAAGTGGCCTCAAGCCAGCCCAAGGGAAGATGATCAGGTCCAATGCGCAGAGCCCTGCTGTAGAGCCCATTAATTTCGTATGGGTGCGCGCACACTTTGCACACTCACCCACATGGAAGACAGGAAGGCTTAGTAAACTACTCCTTCACTCGTCATCAGAAATTGCTAAAGTGCCATAGGAGAGAGAGAACAAATTATGTTAATTGCATTTATAGAAAGGAAAATAAATGTTTCAGCCAAACTGAACAATGCCCTTGTGCGGCTACAGGAGTAAAACTCGACCTGCAAATATAATTAGCAAACATATTAGCGTATCCCAATGCACTGAGCATCACCAGCTATGTGGACCACCACCCCTCATGCACATCCCATCACAGAAGGCTCTTCTCCACCGACTGTTTACTATATTTGACAGTCACCTGTCCTACTGCACTGATTCCTTCCAGCTAATGGTTAGCTTTGGAAACATAATGATCCTAAACCCTCACTTCAGCTGCAGTATGTGAAAATAGCACACTGTACATGATATCGTTCCTTAACATGCATCTGCATGCACACACATTCTAACTACAGATGATAATAATAATGCATGGGATGCGGGTGGCGCTGTGGTCTAAACCACTGAGCCTCTTGGGCTTGCCGATCAGAAGGTTGGCGGTTTGAATCCATGCGACGGGGTGAGCTCCCATTGCTCTGTCCCAGCTCCTGCCAACCAAGCAGTTTGAAAGCATGCCAACGCAAGTAGATAAATAGGTACCACTGCGGCGGGAAGGTAAACGCCATTTCCTTGCACTCTGGTTTCCGTCACGGTTTCCCATTGCACCAGAAGCAGTTTAGTCATGCTGGCCACATGACCCGGAAAGCTCTCTGTGGACAAATGCCGGCTCCCTTGGCCTGAAAGCAAGATGAGCACCGCAACCCCATAGTCACATTTGAACGGACTTAACCATCCAGGGGTGCTTTACATTTTTACATAATAACAACAATAATAACAATAATAATTTAATTATTTATACCCTGCCCATCTGGCTGGGTTTCTTGTCTAATGCTACCATCAGTGAAGATGACAGCATGGGTCTTCTGCTCCTTGCCGCTCCTCACCTCAAATCCTCTCAACATTGTTGTTGTTTAGTCATTTAGTCATGTCCGACTCTTTGTGACCTCATGGACCAGAGCACGCCAGACACTCCTGTCTTCCACTGCCTCCCACAGTTTAGTCAAACTCATGTTCGTAGCTTCAAGAACACTAACCAACCATCTCGTCCTCTGTCGTCCCCTTCTCCTTGCGCCCACCATCTTTTCCAACATCAAGGTCTTTTCCAGGGAGTCTTCTCTTCTCATGAGGTGGCCAAAGTATTGGAGTCTCAGCTTCAGGATCTGTCCTTCCAGTGAGCACTCAGGGCTGATTTCCTTAAGAATGGATAGGTTTGATCTTCTTGCAGTCCATGGGACTCTCAAGAGTCTCCTCCAGCACCATAACTCAAAAGCATCAATTCTTCGGCGATCAGCCTTCTTTATGGTCCAGCTCTCACTTCCATACATCACTACTGGGAAAACCATAGCTTTAACTATATGGACCTCTCAACTTTAGGCTATAGTTTAAAATGTCAGAGGAGGAGAGGGAGAGGGAGAGGGAGAGGGAGAGGGAGGGAGGGAGGGAAGGCAAGTAGAAAGCTTAGCCAACAGAGTGAACTGCATTCAATGGATCGTAGCCACACGTGGCCTCTACTCGTATAAATGTTCCCACCCACACTGTGTCAAACTAGTTCAGCCCCTGCTCTGCTCAATGAGACTCTTAATCTCAGGGTTGCAGCTTCAAGCCCCATGATGAGCAAAAAATTCCTGTGTCGTAGGGGGTTGCACTAGATGGCCCTTGTGGTCCCTTCCAACCCTACAGTTCTATGGTTCTGTGGGGGAGGGGGAGGAATAGCACCCAGCCACCTCCAAAGCTCCCACTCCTAACATGCACGGCAGAGCAAAATGCATTTGTTCCTATTCTAGAGGGTTTCCTCGCCCAGAACATTGGACTAGGGCAGCAGTTCTCAACCTGTGGGTCCCCAGATGTTGTTGGACTACAACTCCTATCATCCCTGAGCTCTGGCCTTGCTAGCTAGGGGTGGTGGGAGTTGTAGTTCAACAACATCTGGGGACCCACAGGTTGAGAAAGGCTGGACTAGGGGGTTCGACTTGATGACTCTCTGCGTTGCTTCCAACTCTACAGTTCTATAGCTGGGAGATACATGCTGAAACATCCACCTGAAATGTGTTGATTTGTAGAGACAGGGATGGAGCGGGGCATGTGTGTGTTGGCTGTTCGAAACAAAGGTAAGTTTTGCATTAGGTTTTCTGTTCTAAAATATAAAAGCAGGTTGTTGGCATCCATCTGTCTTGAGAGACAGTGGAGTGTGCCTCCAGGGATGAAGCCAAACCGCTGTGTCAGCAGCACTGAAGTGACGTCCCCAGGGCGCAAGCCTGGGCAATGTGTCTGGAGGTCCTGGGGCTGCCCAGATGACAACAACAACAACAATAATAATAAATTTTATTTATACCCCACCCTCCCCAGCCAAGGCCAGGCTCAGGGCAGCTAACAACCAATAATAAAAACAAGTTGAATGAATACAACTTAAAAACAAGATTAAAATACAACATTAAAATGCAGCCTCATCACAGGAGGAGAAAGGAAAAAAGAAAGAGGGGGAGGGAATCAGATTGACTCCAAGCCAAAGGCCAGGTGGAACAACTCTGTCTTACAGGCCCTGCAGAAAGAAATCAAATCCCGCAGGGACCTGGTCTCATGAGGCAGAGCGTTCCACCAGGCCAGAGCCAGAGTTGAAAAGGCCCTGGCTCTGGTTGAGGCTAATCTAACTTCCTTAGGGCCCAGGACCTCTAGGGTGTTGCTATTTATGGACCTTAAGGTCCTCCGTGGGGTATACCGGGAGAGGCGGTCCTGTAGGTACGAGGGTCCTAGGCCTAGACTCACAGATAAGGTCCAAAGGAAAACAGAGCAATACATTTAGCACCAGCTTGGCTGTAGGAGCTGACAGCCAAAGGCAAACAAGATGCCATCCAACCATCTTAGGAGCTCCACTCTGGATTATTCCTTAGCCTTTTCATCTTCTTCTCCCAAAGATGTCCTACAAGGCAGCAGAGGCTTAGGACCAGAGTTTTCCTTCTCCTGTATGGGCTACCTTCCCAGGTTGATGAGTCCCATCCGCCCCTCACTTCCTTCTCCATCATGAGCAGAAATCGCCTTCTTGACTGTTGGGCCCACTATTGGTCTTGTCTGCTCAATCGGCCAAAACTGGCAGGGAAAGACCCTAAATCACCAAGGTTTTGAGACCCATCAATGACCCTCATTTGATTCAGCCAGCCAGTTGAAACCATGTGTGGCTGCTGCTGTAGCACCTCTGATGGGGGACACAGTTAAAACAATGGATACTGTGAAGAAAATAGCGGAGGAAATGAGGTATGTATTAGAAAAATAGCAAGTTTCAAAGCTTCATGATATCAGCCGCTAATGGAAAACCCAAAATATTGTTAAATGGGTCTTTATTTAATAGATAGCAATTGCAAGCTGCAATTTGCAAGCTGTAGTTGCAGATGGCAATGTTTTCCCATTCTTTTTCAACAGTCGACTACGGTAGTTACTGTGGGGATCAGCTGACAATGAAATGCCAACTGCAAAAGATATGCTCGTGAGTATACTGAACTGTTAGATTGTTGCAAGGATGTTCCAAGCGTGAAAGCTACCTACTTTGAATACACACAATGCAAATATTTAGAGAGTGCAAGAGTGGAAAGAGGCTCGCAGATATCATTCCATTCATTTGCCATTTTAAACACAATTGAATAGCAAGCACAGCAGACAGCTTTAAAGTGCAGAAGCTTTTTAAATACTACTTTAAGAGCAATTCATTTTCCAATTAAGAAAACTTAGAAGCTCGGAGATATATTCTCTAAACGGAAAAGAAACATTCTGTCATGAAAAAGAACAGAATTGTGAATTGGAACAAGTGGAAGAATACGTGAAACTGGCAGAAAATACTGGAGGATTAGTAATCATAGTTTTGTCTCAATCATGGATACGAGCGAAAACTGTATTGAGATGATTGTTAGATGATGCATCTCTACAGGTTAAATGAAATTGACCACCATTTACAACCCAAAGTGGTAGCATGTCAAAAGAGTTTGGTTTGGTTTTGAACCTATTTGGAGAGTTTGTACAGGAGGGTGGAGGTTAAAACCACAATGGGAAAGATATTAGGATAGCCAAAACGACTGGATACATCGTGGTTTGTTTGTTCTTTCTTTCTTTCTTGTATATTAATTTTCACAAAAACAAAAACATTACTTTTAAGAAGAAGAAAAACCCAATAAAATAAAACATTTAACACAACTATATATACAATCCATATTAAATCCACAGTATGGAATTACTTGAATTATGGGATTACTTCCCTCCACCGCCTCCCTTGGTTCCTTTATAATATTATCATTCACGCATGTCAATAAAATCTTTATCTCTGATTACTTCCAAATTTTGTACATTGTCTAAATATTACAAGTGTGGTGTTTTTTTTTAATCCTGCTAATGTATTAACTTGTGTACATTGCTTTTGTAAATATGCAATAAACATTTCCCATTCTTTTTAATATTTGTTATCACCTTGATTTCTACTTTTACCATTTAATTTAGCCATTTCAGCATACTCCATTCACTTAATTGTGGTTTGCTCTTAAGCATATTGATAATACAATAGCAAGTAATCACAGAGTGCTCATGTCCTAACTGGCCACAGCAACTGATATATGTCGTGCTCGATTCTGGATGCAACCAAAGATGCTTCATAGACACAGTACATTTGATACATTAAGGTACTACTCAAAAGTAGCATGTATCAGGTGGATATAGATCACCTGCTATATACAGTATGTGCTAATGGCACATGGCAGAGATTAGACATTCTCGGAAGGAACTGGACTTGTATTTTTGAGCAACTTGAACAGCAATTTAATATATTCTGGTGAGCAAAGAATATGAGAAAAGAAACAATATATACAATATACAATAATGAAGTTTGCCTCCAATTTTAATTGAGAGAAAAAATGCACTTTGGTGCTCAGAACTTGGGAAAGACTGGTTTCAGAAGAAGCTGCATCATGTCAATACACCCACAAACATATTATTAATTATTCCAGGTGATAGATTTTTTAAAAAATTATTACACCACCGGGTTATTTCCTGCAAACACATGCATCCATTCTGTTGTTAAACAACTCATTCATATTAGTTTTGAAGGGGCAGGAAGGATTAGAGGAGCAATTATTTAACACTGCCCACTTAAGAGCGTTACAGAAAAGCTTTAAATAATGCATTCTGCAGTGCCATCTAGGGGATTTTAAAACACGGAGAGACCTATTCATCGGAGAGAAGGAACAGTAAAGGCTAAATAAAGCGGTTGCGATTCCAGAGCATCCTGTGGATTCTGGGGTAATGTTTGATTTCACTGTAGGGATATCTGCGCAAGGTCATATCTGGCATTGCAATTTTAAAACCAGGAGATGCATTGAGCCATAGTCAGGCTTAATAGACCAATACTTCACAAATGTAACCTTGAGGTAGGGAAGGTTTTTCCTGATAAAAACCAGCGTACTGCAGAAACGTGGATGTACTAGAAATTTTTCGCCGGAGGCTTTTATTAGATACCATGAAATATACGGCCTCTTTATATGTTATATGTAATCTCTCTTCCATCCTTTGATCCCATGCTTCTGCTGTTGTGTTTGAAATATCAAAGACCACTTTGGAGGGGCCAACCGTGTGAAAAAGATCTGCGCAATTTGCCCTATTCATGTGGTTCTGGATTTTCAAGTGCCACTACAGCTCTTCGGGACAAATCTTACAAAAATGGCTCCCACATCACACACAAACAAAAATGGATCCCAGATTGAAGGGGCCATGCTTGAAGGTTTTTGGTTCAGAATAAATACAGTGGTACCTTGGTTCTCAAACTTAAGTCCGCTCCAAAACCAAGGTGCGCTTTCCCATAGAAAGTAATGCAAAACAAATTAATCCATTCCAGGCTTTTAAAAACAACCCCTAAAACAGCAATTTAACATGAATTTTACGAGCTAACGAGACCATTGATTCATAAAACGAAAGCAATAATCAATGTACTGTACTGTAAAGGTAAAGGGACCCCTGACCATTAGGTCCAGTCGCGGATGACTCTGGGGTTGCGGCGCTCATCTCGCTTTATTGGTCGAGGGAGCCGGCGTATAGCTTCCTGGTCATGTAGCCAGCATGACTAAGCTGCTTCTGGCGATCCAGAACAGCGCACAGAAACGCTGTTTACCTTCCCGCCAGAGAGGTACCTATTTATCTACTTGCACTTTGACGTGCTTTCTAACTGCTAGGTTGGCAGGAGCAGGGACCGAGCAACAGGAGCTCACCCCGTTGCAGGGATTCGAACTGCTGACCTTCTGATCGGCAAGTCCTAGGCTCTGTGGTTTAACCCACAGCGCCACCCACATCCCAGTACTGTACTGTACTATACTATAAAATAAATAAGACAGTATTGTAGACCAAGCATGTCTAACTTCAAGTAGGCTATTTGCCCCGAGGGGACAGGGGTGGGGGCAGGGTGGGCAGCAGGGGGGGTGCAGGGGTGGGTGTATATGCAGTTCTGTCTCTCCCCCACCCCAGCCAACCCTTTCTCTCCCCCCCCCAAAAAAAAGCATCTCTCTCTCTCTCTCTCTCTCCTCAAACCAGCTGGGCTGTGAAACTCTTCTCAGAACTTTGCAATTACTATGGGGGGACACAAATTAGCAGTGCAACAAGCCTTCAATTACTATGAGGGAGACACAAATTAGCAGCGTAACAATAAAAACAGAATCTCAGGACTCAAAACGGAGCACGTTTGACTTCCGAGGCAAGTTCACAAACCAGAACACCTACTTCCGGGTTTTGCACCATTTGAATTCCAAGTTGTTTGTGAACTAAGCTGTTCGAAAATCAAGGTATCACTGTAAAATAATTCGGTTCCAGAGAAAGCCTTTACAGATTGTCAGATCAAAGAGGCTGAGTAAGTGAAAAATGTAATTTCTGCATTTGGACTGCAGACCCATAAAAGCTGTTTAGTTGCTCCTTTATACATATTATTAAAACATTTGTTTCCTTCTGTCTGACTGAAATAACAAGTCACTCCAGTGAGTAACTGCTTCCCAGGAACGTGTCAGTTAGTTTGTTTTTATTTTTCATTTTATTGCTCATTTAACGGAACTCATTCTAATCTCCACACTTCAGTTTCCTACATGATTAATACCGCAATGTTAAAAGAGATACTGGAATGCAAAACTGATGCATCTGTAGAATAATTATATTTCCTGTCTCAGCCAATGAAGTGCATGATGGGAGACTATTGCAGCCTGATCAAAACAATTGCATGGGTGGCGCTGTGGGTTAAACCACAGAGCCTAGGACTTGCCGATCAGAAGGTCAGCGGTTCGAATCCCCGTGACGGGGTGAGCTCCTGTTGCTCGGTCCCTGCTCCTGCCAACCTAGCAGTTCAAAAGCACGTCAAAGTGCAAGTAGATAAATAGGTACCGCTCTGGCGGGAAGGTAAATGGCATTTCTGTGCGCTGCTCTGGTTCACCAGAAGCGGCTTAGTTATGCTGGCCACATGACCCAAAAGCTGTACGCAGGCTCCCTCGGCCAATAAAGCGAGATGAGCGCCGCAACCCCAGAGTCGGCCACGACTGGACCTAATGGTCAGGGGTCCCTTTACCTTTACCTATGTATTCTGTTCCTCTAAGCATGCTGGGTCTTGGTTTATAACAGAGGTGACTAATGTTGAGTTTAAGGGTTTGATTTGTCTCCTGGCCCCAACACTTTTTCTTGCCCCCCTGACCAACCAATTTTGGAAGCAGGGCAGGGGGAAAGGCAGAGCTCAGTGCTCCAATGGGGATGCAAATTGCATCCCACCCCCTGTTAATGCAGCCGTGGGAGGGTTCACCGTGCTTCTAAAAGGGTTAAAGGGTTAGCCAGTTCTTATCTATATGTACATGGAGTGCTTAGGGGTGCAAGCAATACACACCGCTTTCATTTCCCAACATGAAAGGAAAGCATTATCGGTAGCACACAAGCATTTCAAAACACATAAACAAGCTTCTGGACACTTATTGCATGTCTGCAAATAAAAGAGATGGTTTTTCTCTTAGTCCAGTTTCAAGACATGGGGAAAGATAGCAATAGCCCAACACGCTCAGAGAGCCAGTTAATCTGTAATTGCTTTGGAGAAAACAAAAACAAAGATGATGAGAAATAGTGTGACGTGCTGCGAAATAGCAAGTTGTCATACGATGAGGGTCTAAACATATTTATAGGTTGAACTAGCCAATTGTCGCATCTGTGGTGTTTAATTGAAAAGGAGCAACAGAAGGAAAATATGCAAGAATTGCACGTTGATACTTGAATTATTCAGTTACTTTAAGTGTGAGCTGTCTTGACTCCATGAGCTTCCTTCCACCCCGCCTCTAGGAACCAGGATGGTGGAATGAACCACTTGCAATACACACACATAGAGTGGTACCTTGGTTCTCAAACTTAATCCGTTCCGGAAGTCTGTTCCAAAACCAAAGCATTCCAAAACCAAGGTGCACTTTCCCATAGAAAGTAATGCAAAACGGATCAATCCGTTCCAGGCTTTTAAAAACAACCCCTAAAACAGCAATTTAACATGAATTTTACTATCTAACGAGACCATTGATCCATAAAATGAGAGCAATAAACAATGTACTGCAGCCGCACAATCAATCAATCAGTAGCTGATCTGGGTTCCACACAGTCACAAAAAAAGAGCCGCAAAAACAAAAAAGTAAAATAAATAGCAAAAACAGACAGACCTCAGTGTAATGCTCAAAATGGAAGTGTGGCACGGAGCACTTTCGGCTTCCAAAAAAAGTTCTCAAACCAGAACACTTACTTCCAGATTTGCAGCGTTTGGGTTCCAAGTTGTTTGAGTACCAAGGCGTTTGAGAACCAAAGTACCACTGTGTGTGTGTGTGTGTGTGTGTGTGTGTGGCATAGGCAGCCTTTGGCCCTCTAGATGTTTTGGCCTACAACTCCCATGATCCCTAGCTAACAGGACCAGTTGTCAGGAATGATGGGAATTGTAGTCCAAAACATCTGGAGGGCCGAAGGTTGCCTGTGCCTGGTATATGGAAAAGA